TGTTGAGCTCGAAATATTTAACATATACATACCCCCTGTTACCAGCTGCCCGGCAGGATATCACCCTGAAATAGGTACGCTACTCAGAGGTGAAAACCGTATGGTAGTTGGTGACTTTAACGCGCACCACGATCTTTGGCACTCAATCCTGTCAAATGATCATAGGAAAATACATCTGGCTGAGCAGATAGACGATTCGACATTCTGCACAATGAACGACGACGCACCCACCAGGATTACGCGCAGCTGCTGCAGCTCGCCAGATCTAACAATTTTCATCGCCGATCTGATAAACAGCGTATCATGGCGACCGATGCTGACTCTAGCATCAGACCATCTGCCCATAGTCATCTCGATTGATAAACCTGCCGACTTTGCTTCCGTGGATCACCGAACTTATGTGAACTTTTCCAAAGCTGACTGGAAAGGCTTCACGGATGTTACTGAAGGCGCCTTCACTGCACTACCCATACCAACCGACGTTCATATAGGTGAACGTAAGTTCCGCAGGGTTGTCACCGCTGCTGCAGCTCGCTTCATCCCAGCAGGATGTATTAAGGACCCACGTCCGAATTTTCCTGCCGAAGCAGCTGTTCTAGCTGATGAGCGCGACAACCTTCGTCAGGCCGATCCCGGAAATCCCCGTATTAAGGATCTCAATTCGGAGATTCGGCAACTTGTGAACGTACATAAGCGGAAGAAATGGGAAGAGCATTGGAAGACCTGTAACTTCGCCTCTGGTGTGAGCCAGCTTTGGTCAACCGTGAGGTCGTTGGCCAACCCGACGAAGCGCGATGACAGAGTCGAGATAGACTTTGGTGACCACGCTTCGTAAGACCCGGAGAGATGCGCGAGCTATTTTAGACGACAGTTCATTCTGCATCCTCCGGTGGATAAAGCCAAACGTCGAGTGACCAGAAGGCTGCACAAAATGCCAAAACCTAGTGCGCCTCTTGTTTTCACCAGCGGTGAGGTAAGGGTAGCCACCGGGAAGGCGAAAGCCTCCAAATCCATTGGACCCGACGGAATATGCATGTTGATGCTGAAAAATTTGGGTCCTGCGGGAGTAGCGTACCTAACGGAGGTCCTCAACCTGTCTATGGCCACTCTCGCCATTCCAGACATCTAGAAAATTGGGAGAGTGGTCCCACTGCTCAAACCGGGGAAACCAGCCCACAAAGCAGAGTCTTATCGCCCGATAACTCTCCTTTCGCCGGTAGCGAAGACACTGGAGGCCCTGCTGCTCCCGTACTTTACGAACCACCTGTCCCCAGCGAAGCATCAACATGGGTTCCGTAAATTGCAAAGCCCAACAACAGCACTTAACGCCATAAATACTCAGATAACTCGTGGCCTAAACCGAAACCGCCCCTGTGAGAGAACTATTCTAGTAGCGTTGGACCTGTCCAAGGCGTTCGACACTGTCAGCCATTCAACGCTACTTGAAGATATAGAGGCCTCCTCACTCCCACAGGGACTCAAACGGTGAACGGCGAATTACCTGAGTGGTCGACACTCGTCAGTAATTTCCAGAGACAAAACTAGCAAGCCACGTAAAATTAAATATCCCCTGCGAAATCCTCGGCAACCCTTTCACCACCTGGACGAAGGAGGTCAGACTGCCACTGGGTATTCACGTCGATGGCGTAACAATACCGACGGTGAATAACCCGAAAATCTTTGGAGTTACCTTCGACAGTCGCTCTCTTTCTCGGCGCATACAACCGCAATTGTCAACAAAGTACAGAGCCGCAACAATGTCCTCAAGTCGCTGGCCGGCAGCACTTGGGGCAAAGATAAAGAAACGTTGTTGGCAACATACAAGGCAATTGGCCGGCCGGTTCTAAACTACGCAGCGCCCGTATGGTCGCCGGGGACTAGCAGGACGCAGTGGATGAAGCTACAGACCTGCCAAAACACGGCTTTACGAACTGTGACAGGATGCCTCCTGATGACGCCTCAACACCACCTTCATGACGAGGCCCAGATGCTCCCAGTAAAGGAGCATAACATAATGCTCTGCAAACAGCCACAGACGGGGCCATCCCAGCGGACAACTGCTCGCGGAAGAGCCCTCGCCACGGCACGTCAGGAGGCATCTTTACGAACTGGCAGACGAAGTCCAGAGGTATATCAAACAACCTCTGGACCCGTCAACCTACCGACAGGCCCTGAACGACATTCACAAGGAATCAGTCTCAAGCTGAACGACATTCACAAGGAATCTGTCTCAAGTTATGTAGACTCCCGCCCTGTGAATGCCGTTCTAGGCACACAACCACCGGACGTGGACGGGACAGAACTTTGTCTGCCTCGGGAGACCCGCACTACAATAGCCCAACTTCGCTCTGGCTATTGCAGCAGGCTCAACAGCTGAGCAGAATTAATGAAGATGTGCCCAACCAATGCCCGGCATGTGGAGAGTCGCCACATGACTCCCGGCACCTCTTCACATGCCCTGAGAACCCCACTCAGCTAACGCCCCTGTCCCTATGGACAGCCCCTGTGGAAGTAGCACACTTCCTGGGCCTCCCCCTAGCTGAAATTGACGACAACGTTGATGGATGAACCGCCCCGAACGGGGCTTAGTAGCCGCTACAACAACAAAAACAGGCGACTATATTTTTGTGGTTGCTGGGAATGTTTTGGGAGCGTATTTAGGTGCGAAAATTTAAGTGTGTCATATATTATACTTTTTAATAATTTGGACGATATTAACATTTTGCAATGCAGTCTGCTTTTATAGAATATGGTGAAAATAACAAAACAATAACTTGAAATTTTAGTTCCCGTGGAGTACGCCCTTTTGGCGAAACAAACGCGAACACTGATTGCAAATTTTTTCCTTTATCAACTGGAGCACCCCTTTTAAAACTACCGAAACACCAAGTTTTCCAAATTGAAGTCATTGCGCATGGGCATACCTAAAGAATACCTACCCTTGAGCTAGAGAAAAAGGAAAACGTGGCCGTGGTGCACCCCTTTCTGCTGAGTTTAATGGTAAACTTTTTTCTGGTGCAAATTGACAGGGGCGGCGCTAGGGGGGGCTAAACGTGGAATTGCCAACATTTTCAAAAGCTTATATTTTGAAAACTATTGAACCGATTCTCAAAATATGGACACAGTTGGAAAGGTAATTGAAGGACCTTTCATTCCATATGTTATAAGGAATTTAATTCTACAACTCAACCTTATAACAAATAAGGTGATTAAAAAAAATGGTTTGTATACATTTCTTTAGTATTTTTTTAATTTTAAT